CCCCCAGATCTGTCCCTGTGTCCCCAGAGCTGTTCCTGTTCCCCAGAGCTGTCCCTGTGCTCCCAGAGCTGTCCCTATGTCCTCAGAGCTGTCCCTGTGCCCCCAGATCTGTTCCCACCCCAGCACTGTCCCGGTGCCCCCAGCGCGGTCCCTGTGTCCCCAGATCTGTCCCTAGGTCCCCAGAGCTGTCCTTGTGTCCCCAGATCTGTCCCTGTGTCCCCAGATCTGTCCCTATGTCCCCAGAGCTGTCCTTGTGCCCCCAGAGCTGTTCCCATTCCCTGGAGCCCTCGGTTAGCTGCTCAAACACATCCACGTGTGCCTCAAAGCTGCTGCTGTGCCAGCCCCGCAGCATTCGGGGCTCAAAAACTCGCGTGCTCTCGCGCCCCGAGCTCTGTGATGAAGCAGCTCGTCGGTTTTTCTCCCCCTTAGTTCACTGCTACCCTTTCCCTGTAGGATTTGAGGAAGGGAAAAACCAAATCCAAAAGTTGTTCCACGCCTAATGTAGTTTTGCCAAGCTGCAGAGACAAGGTGTCAGGCCGTGTGGAACTAGTGGATGGAGTCCCTGGAAACTGCCCTCAGGGATAAACAGGCAGGAGAAACCTGCAGTTCCCTAAGGATCCTTCTTGCAGAGAACAAAGCTCTAGACTCCCATGTGTAAGAAACCAGGCAAAGAAGGCAGGAGACCAGCACAGCTGAGCAAGGTTCTTGTGGTCCGAGCGAAGGACACGGAAGAAACGCAAAGGCACTGGAAGCCAGAAAATGTATGCATAGGAGAGAATATAGGGATGGTGCTTGGGTGTGTGGGAATGGGATCGGGAGATAAGGCACAGCTGGAGCTGCATGTGACAAGGGATGTGAAGAATCATAATAAGGGCTCCAAGAGATGTGTTGATTAGAAAAGGAGGACTGAAGCAAACATATCCATCCCCCCACCCCGACAGATCAGACCCATCTGGTGATAACCCACAGGCTGACAGGTTTTGATATTTGACTTCTTTTCTTGCCTGTTTTTTGCTGGCAGTCACTGCCCACACCTCTCACGTCCCTGAACCTCAGCACGGGAAATAAAGTACCTTCTCCTGTAGGAGAAGACCACGTCCAAGACCATCTGAGGCACACGAGCACTGCCAAGTCAGTGGGACATGACGAGGTGCACCCAGGGTTTGGAGGGAGCTGGCAAACCGGGTCCTAAGGCATTCCCCACTGCATGCAAAAAGTCGTGGCAGCCAGGCAGAGTCCCCAGTGACTGGAGAACAGGGACTACCACACCAGCCAGAACATTTGGAAGGAGGCATTGTCCTGCATACACACAGTGTTCTGCTCTACATGATCCATGCTCTGCAGGGGTTCACAAACCTCAGCAAGGTCTGCAAAAACAGCAACAGTCTGGGCACGTTCTGAGAGAGCACAGCACACTTTTTCTTTTTTCCCAACCCAAATGAATGCTACAAACCAGCTGAAGGAAAATGTTGCATAAGGCTTTAATGGCAATACAGAATCAAGCTGGAACAAAGCTTTCTGAACAGCCTTACTGATCTCAGGTAGTCATTCATTCTTCTTCCAGGCAAAGAATTTACATCAGAGCTCCATCGACTCCACTTATTGCACAAAAAACACACACCCAAGCAAACAAAAATCCAACCCAAACAATTAAGCAGCAATCTTTCCTCTGAAGTTCTTAAACTTCAGATATATTCAGTCATGTGGTGGAGAAGCAAAATGTGGGATGCTAGAATATGGAAGTAGGTGTTTCCAGGGAGGAACATTATTCCCTTAGGTTGTTGGTATCCCTTTGGAGGTAAAAAATTGTATTTTTCTATTTTTTAAATTGCTCACAACTTGAAAACAAAATATATGATGAAAATAATGCACTCAATCCCAGAGATGACTTGGTTTAAACCATCTCTGCCTTCGAAGATTGTAAAGTTTTGAATAGTTTACCATTAGCAAAAATAATTTATCAAAGATAAAAATTAGATCTTTAATACTCTTGAAAAAATTTTGAATTTAGCTAATAAATCTATACACACACATATACATTGCTTTTCCCAAACATGTGAGAGAATAGACTGGAAGATGTCAGCAAGTATGGAATGGGAGATTCCATTCATGCCTAGACACACATTACAGTTATGTCATGGGTAACTCTGGAGAGCAGAGTAAAGAATTCCCAACTCAAAACATGCTTGTTCTGAACACAACACACACTTAAATTTTCAGTTGGAAAGGACCTTTGTGAGCCAACAGAGCAGTTGCAATTAGTGTGCAAGCAGGATAAAGTGCTAATGATTCACTGTAACTGACACCAAATCACACTGAAGTCAATAAATAATTAAGTTGATAGTTATGTTCAATGATCAGTGACCTCTAAACACTGTAAGTGGCACAACTCCTCAGTTTCAAAGACTCAAAGAACTAGGTACACGTAAATCTGACCCCACACACACGTACACAGACAAAATGCTTTGGCAGGATAGAGCAGTATCTTCCAGATTATTTGGCAAGTTAGACAGGACCAAAATCCCAGCGAACATGAATGTAATTTAAAATACGTCAGCTTTAATCCAAACGCATATTATAATCTGCTGTTGTAATCTGAACCGTCACTGTTTCTCATCACTGGATTCACGTGCTTGTATTTTGCTTCAATATTAACATAGACAGCAAGATTGTTGGTGCTTTTGATCACTATCCTGTGAAATACACTACCCTCTTTCATGAGATCTTCCACCTTCTTATCTGTTGACATAACTACTTTCTTTTCTCCTGTATAATCTGGATCTTCCGGATACAACTCATCTCCTGGGGGTGAGAAAAGAGCTTTAGTTACAGATTGCCAACCTTATTTTTCAGCCTTTTCATCGAGTGACACTGGCAATTTAAAAATATTTATCAGGGCATGAAACTGAGTGGAAACGTATTTTGCAATGCAGAAGTAAATTGCCTCTAAATATCTTCAGGTTTAAAAGGGGAGAGCCATGAATTCCTGAAGTATCTGTCAGTTGAGACTGCAGTGCATTTGAGGTGTTGATGTCAATGTTCCAGAGCTCCTGGCAACATTAACATGCTAAAATCCTGGGCAGACAGGAGTTTATATAACAGGTGGAGACCAGGACAAACACTTTTCCAAGGGTATAAAGATAGGATTAAGAACAGAAACATATTTTTTCTATTCTGTTGAAGTAAACAATGTTTTGCAATATCAAGGCACTTCTCTTGGGAAAGGCTGACACACCCCAAAGACACAAATCCCAGAGGTCAGTTGTGACAAAAAAGAAAGGGAGAAAACACCGTGAAATGCAAACTAAAAGAGCAGAAAATAATCAACAGTACATGCAGCTTGTCTTAACTCTGCCTCTGCATGATTATGAAACGAGAGAGATGTAAGTGGGAGAAAGGGCAGGAGGAAGATGACTTAGTGTGTGTTTCCAGACCAGTTTCCACTGCAGCTGCAAGGACTGAAACTGAAGGTGTGCTCAATCCCCTTGTCCTTACAAAGACAGATGGCAACTGCAGTAAATGAGAGATCCCACTGAAAAGGGCTGAACAGGAGGAGGTCTAATACATCCTTCAGACTAAAAAAACCACCCTGAAATACTAGAATTTCCTCACAAATAAACTTGTTATGGCCATGGTGAAACAAGAGGTGGTAAGTAACTGTGCTCATCTCTGGCAGCAGCTGCTGCTCCAGCTGCAGCAAACCAGGAGCCACACTGCAGCAACTTGACTTCAGAGAGAATTTTCCTTACAGTCCCAGATGGTTTATGCCATGTGGCTGGAGTACACAGCCCTCAGGAGGTGCTGTGTCTTTAACAGACCCTCCAGGGCGTTCCGTACCTGGCAGCAGCTGAATGAAGCCATCGGAAGCTGTCAGCATCACTGGCATCCAGCGCTCACATCCCTCCAGAGCTCGGTCCCAGCTGAACTTGTGCAGCTCATGGAGCGAAGAGAAGTTGCACAGCCTACAAAATTCATAAAACTGAGGTGGAGGAAACCATATTTCTTGAGATTTAAGGCGTTCAAGAGCTTCAGGAGGAGACGACCACTGTAAGAGGAAAACAAACGGTGAAATGATAGTTTTGTCAGCAGATAAAAAGTCTGGGTAACCTGAAAAGTCATTAGCAAGGAAGTCTTTACAGAAAAAAAGCTTGCAACAGGCCACTTCTTCTGAACACAATAAAAACCATACATAAACTATGCCAAAACAACAACAAAGAAAGTATAAACATTTTAAAACATAGGCTACCTACAAAAGTTACTCCTTTTTTCCAATAAAAATAAATAAGGTTTTACTTCACACATAGACATGTCAGGTTTAAAAACTGCGATCCGGTATAGGGGCCTGATGAAAAGTCTACTGAAACCAACAGAAGACCAAACTCAGTGCTACCAGAGGTTGCTTTGAGGATTAAAGTACCTCTCTAAACATCTGCTTCTTACCCTCATGGTTTTCAGAGTGTGAACACACAGCTCTTCATGCTTATTCTGCATATTTAAACTGTTGGTAATCTCAGAGGGTGAATGTGGTAATATAAATGTGTGCATAAGCATCTGCAGTAGATTTATGCTGCTGTTAACAAAATTATGACAAACATCAACTCTTTTGAGGACATGACCTCAGGTACTTTTAAATTTCTGTAGCAAAATCTGTTAAAAACCAAATATAGCAACATCAGTAATGCCAAAAGTGTCAGGGAAGCTTTTCCAGAACTGTTTGCTTTCTCATCTGCCTCTAACTTGTTATCAAACCCTCCAGAATTCTAGAAAAGCTTAAGGCCTCTAATGTATCTGACCTTGAGCTCTCTTAACGAAGTTTCTTCATGAAGTTTGTTACTTTTACTGAATTAAAAAAAAACCCCAACAGGTAAAAAATTCAAAGCTTTGATTTTTTTTAATAGACGATTTCAACAAGTTTGGTATTACTTAAAATATTCCGAGTAGCTCCACAGGACAAAAATGACTAGCACCTCTTGCTAGTCATATATCCCTGGAATATACAGGAATATACCTGTGCATTGCACATGGATCTCTCCCAGCAGACTGAGTGTCAGGGCATGGACGAGGCTCTGCTGCAATGAGGCTGCAGAGCAACAGTGACCTTGGCAAGATAAGCCTGCACCCCTGAGCCTAACCAGGTTGAAAACATGTTTTGAGAAAGGACTGTAAAAGGAGGACGATTATCCGTGAGAACACCGAGGCAAACATCCCGAGAGGAATCCAGAAGATGTCGATAAGAAGAGAATGTTTTGAGCTAGTTAAGAGGGCACGCATCAACAACCGTTCACCAATAAATCAAGCATTACCCCATCACCGGCCAACAGACGGTTAACACGGTGTGTGCGGAAGAAGAGTGTAAAAGAAGCACTGTAGAAACGATGAAAAAAAACGGGAATTCGAGTTTCGCTATCGCCGCAGATGCTGCGCGCCCAGCATCCCCGCATCGCCTTACCAGGCAGGCCGTC